CCAGTGATGAGCTAACAAGGTGGGATAATACAAAACCACATGTCATGCTTTGGTTGTGAGAAAATAGGAAAGACAAATAGTATGAGATGACCTGGAGTAAACCCTTAAGAAGGAATGTTGCTGCTGTGGCCCCCGGGAAATATTAATAGTAACCTCTACCCCACCAGGAACAGGACAAAGAAGCTTCTACATTTTTATATTTTAGAATTTCCATTGCTAAAAGCAAAATCGAGACAGCACTCAAATCCAAACACTATTTTACCTAAGTTGAACTGCCTAAGAAATAAACATTAAGCCCCCTGCATTGAGATATCCTTCAGTACTGTGTTTCAACTGCGACAGTGTTTTCATACCAGCCATGTATTTGTGACGACTTCTCCCACAGTTGCTTCTACTTCACACCCCAGCAGGGGAACCACGGCATAATCAGCAACAGTTCTGCTCAGAAGGGATACGATTTTTCCAGCATTTTCTTTTATGATGCTTGCAATAGTAGATTCATGTTCATTACTAAAACCCAAAACAAGGAAACTCTTTTGGCTAAATAAGCCCTCTTCGGTAATTGTAGAAGCATCAGGGAGACAATGACTAACAGAAGATCGGTTTTCTTCTGGCAAAATGTAAGTAGAATCATTAAAGGTCTCAACATGAGTAGAATCATTAAAGGGCCCAACTTCAGACTTCTCAGCTTCAGACTTCTTAGCTTCAACTGAAAGAGAAAAAGAAATGTTTTCTAACAGACACTTTGTCTTATAAAGTTTATTTCCTGCCAAGTATATTAATGTAACATGGATTCTGGGAATTTTGACCATACTTTCAAAACTAATGCTTAAATGCGCCAAATGAAGAAGGGAGGTGGATCCACCCATCTTCTGGGTTACCAAGAGTATTATCAGTATTACCATCCTCCATTAAGAAGGACAACAGCAATCATGTTAGTTCTAAGTATTTCTAGTATACTACAAACCTGAATTAGTTGAAAATTATGAAGCTTCAACAGGACTCTCTTAGTTCCAAAACTGGTTTAGATAATTCACAACAGAATTGAGAAAAATATCGTTAAGGGAAAAACAGAATTAACAGGCCCAAGCAGCATAAATGTCAAGCCCTTAACATGGAAACAACTATAAATGTGATAAGAGAATCATAATTACTTCTATTTTTAAAATTCCTAAATGTATCATATTAAAATTGGAGCTACTAAGCTTCTATGCAGATTTCTTAGGACAACAACTGATCAAGGACTCAAGCAAATGGTCTCAACGATTTTATTTTAGGATAAAGTTCGCTGACAGATGTGCAGTAAAAGAAAAAAACATAGCTACATAAAAATGTCATTAACTAAAACATTCAGTCACTAATATGCAATAAACACTGTCATATTAAGGCTAAAAGTTCAAGAAATAAAAATAGTATGTTTTTGAAAACTCTAGTGGCGCTGTGTCAGAAGGTAACACTTTACACCGAGGGTTGGCAAACTATAGCCTAGCGGCCATTTTGGGCCCACAGACTGTTTTTGTACAGTTTGAGGATTAAGAATGATTTCTACATTTTTAAATGGTTGTCAGAACAAAACAAAATAGAATACGTGACAAAGACAGGATGTGACCAGCAAATCCTAAAATATTTACTGTCAACCCTTTTAGAGAAAAAGTTTGCCTTGCTTTATGGGATCCCAACAAGGCTGGAAGCTATTTAAGGATTCATTCATTCGCTCATATAGGCACCATGCCTAAGTGCTTTACATGTATGTAATGCTCACATCATGCTAACCAGAAGGTCGATAATATCAGTATATCCCTTTTCTCCAAAAGGAACATGAGGCTTAAAGAGGTTATGTGACTTGCCTAAAGCCATATTATTAAGTGGTAGAAATGAGATATGAACCAAAGTCTGACTCTAGAGTCCAAAACACTGTTATAATGCCACCTTCTTCTATCCTCATGTACAAGACATTAGCATTTTCATTTTTAAATAAATTACTCCAATATATGTTAGAAACTTAGGACTCCTACTCAATTGAAGTATTTAAATTGCTCTTATTGACACTCTGAGGAAGCATAGTTTTGTCTAGAGCATTTACTTATCAGGAAGACAAGACAGTTAGGTTCTACTTTCACAATCTCTTTAACCCTCAGTTTTAGACAATAAGGAATAAGGGATAATAGTACATTTACAATTTATAGAGATACTCATGAGAATGAGTAAGTTTAGACGGAAATAAAGGTGATGTGATACTATAAAACATTCTGGAAAGTTTGTTTTTCAGAAGTTTGTTAAAATGTAAACAGTTCGTTTTAAAGGTTAAAAACATTTTTTTTTGCAATTACAATTATTTTGCAATAACATCTAGGAGAACAAAATAAGCCTGTTTGATGTCTATATATTGCTGGTGAGATGAGAAGAAGAAACCCAGTAGAATTTTAGATTACTACTATAAAAACAAACTAGAAATACGAAGTTCTCTTTTTTTTGAGATAAAGTTTCCCTCTCTCACCCAGGCTGGAGTGCAGTGGAACAATCATAGCTCACTGCAGCCTTGAACTCCTAGGCTCAAGTGATCCTCCCACCTCAGCCTCCTGAGGACCTGGGACTACAGGTGTGTGCCACCATGCCTAGAAATTTTTTAAAAATTTTTTGTAGAGACAGGGTCTTGTTATGTTGCTCAGGCTGGTCTATAACTCCTGGCCTCAAGCAATCTTCCTGCCGTGGTTTCCCAAAGTGCTAGGATAATAGGCATGAGCCACCGCATCCAGCCAATTCTTAGTTCTTAGAAACTGTAAGTAAAACTCTGAAGTTATTAAGAGACTCATAGTAAATTAACATGTTCCACAGCAGTTCTTTACATTTATTTTAGTAGTAGAATACCTTTTTCAAATGGATCTCACCCAGAAGTCCAACAGACACTACTTGATAAACCTATTATTGAAAAAGCTCTCTTAAATCAAAAGCAATTTTGCTTTAAGAATTAATTGTGGCCAGGCTTGGTGGCTGATGCCTGTAATCGCAGTACTTTGAGAGGCCGAGGCAGGAGGATCACTTGAGGCCAGGAGTTTGAGGCTACAATGAGCTATGACTGCATCACTGCACTCCACCCTGGGTAACAGAGGGAGACCCTGCCTCTTAAGAGGGGAAAAAAAAAGAATTAATTGTAAAATACTTTATTATATCCTTTCTAAGGTGCTTGAGGATCCACTGAGATTTACTGTCACTTAATCCTTATAGCTGCCTTACAAATGTAGGTTTCAGAAACCAATCACCTGCCTGCTACCAAGCACCCTTGCTGAAGGACAGTATATATATAAAATTGCTTTCAGTCAATTTGTGGCTTCTTTAAACCAGAGCATCCTAGAAAACTGGGATGATGTCCTGATGGGATGCAATACTAAGGCATAAAAAAATGGTTTGATAAAAGTCAATTTTGTAATATAAAACAAACAGAAATAGTGTGGATAAAAAAGGAATGTTAGGAATTCTCTTTCTAGAAATATGGTAGGCTAGACATTTGAAAGGATTTCATGAGGGTTCACTAAAAACCACCCCAAATTATGGTTAGCCCAAATATATTTGTAACTTATACTCTTGGAATTTAAGGGTATCATGCCAGGGATAGGAGCCAAGTCTTTGGTGGAGCAGAGTATACCCTGAGGACACAAACCCAGAACACTTGAAGGGAAATACCTTTAGTAAATAGATCAAAACCAATCAACAAACAACAACAAATCCACCCTACAAAGGGAGATGACAAGGATGCTTGGCTTTGGTTCAAGGGGAAAAACATCTCTCCTAAGAATTTATCATCACAGCCTGGTTCTCAAAGTAGGTTAGGGTACAAATTCACACTAGCCTGATGGTCTAAGAACCCTCCAGCCAATAAACTAAGTTAGAGGTGTACTGAATTGGTAAACTCCTAGGCACCTGGCAGACCTATATATGAACCTTTTCTGGAGGAACAAACCCTTACCCCGCGTTTCTTAGAATTCTTAGAGTCCTATTAAGTACAAGTTCACAACAAAAACCACAAAACACATGAGAAAACTAGGCACCATAAACAATAATCAACAGAATTAACACCCCCACCAATTCATATGTTGCAACAGGCTTAATGTGTTTCAAGAAATAAAGAACAAAAACCACAAATATAACATAAACTATTAAAAGAACTAAAACTTCTAGGAATAGAAAAATTAAGTATTAAAACCAAAAATTCAACGGATGGGTTAAACAGACAAGGAAATAGGAGAGGAGAAAATTAGTGATCTGGGAAAAATCTGAAGGAATTACATATAATAAATCACAAATCCTAGCTCTCTGGGAGGCCGAGGCAGGTGGATTATTTGAGCTCAGGAGTTCGAAACCAGTCTGAGCAAGAGCGAGACCCTGTCTCTACTAAAAATAGAAATTAATTGGACAACTAAAAATATATAGAGAAATTAGCCAGGCATGGTGGCGCATGCCTGTAGTCCCAGCTACTTCGGAGGCTGAGGCAGGAGGATCACTTGAGCCCAGGAGTTTGAGGTTGCTGTGAGCTAGGCTGACACCACGGCACTCACTCTAGCCCGGGCAAAAGAGTGAGACTCTGTCTCAAAAAAAAAAAAACAAAAAACAAAAAAACAAATAAATAAATAAATAAATCACAGACAAAAAGATGGAAAATAAGAAGGATAGATTAAGTAATCCATAAACAGAGCAAATGGGAGTTAAGCGAATATAGAGAATGAGGGAGAAGCAACATTCCAAGAGATAATAAATAAAAAATTTCTAGAACTAAAAAGAAAAAAGCAAAGATTCCACTAATTCTCAGTTTTAGAAAGCACAATGAATCCTAAGCAGGACAAATAAAAGGTAAAACTCTAGGACACAAACAAAAGGAAGATCTTAAAAATAGAGGGAAAAGATAGATTACCTATAAAGGAATGACAGTAAGATTGACATGTGACTTCTTATCCAACAGCCACAGAGATAGATGACAATGAAATAATACCTCCAAAGTGCTTAAACAAAGTAACTGTCTAGAACTGTATACCCGGCAGAACAGTCTTTTAAGGACAAGGGCAAAATAAAGACATTATTAGGTCAACAGAAAAGGAATTTCTAAAGGATATTATTACAAGAAGAAAAGAAAATGATTCCAGAAGAGAGGTCTCATATGCAAAAACAATTAGGAGCAAAGAAATAGTTGAACATGTCAGTAAATAAAAAAATATTAACCATATAAAACATAATAATGTCTAACTGTGAAATTTAAAAAGACAATAAAAACACCAGACAACAAAATCACTGAAGCTGAGTATGTTGAATGGGGTGGGTAGTTAGTTGTGATCATTAAACATAAGTGTTTTAAGGTTCTTTTATTATGCAAGAGGAAGATAAAAATTCTGATTAACTTTACATTTTAAATTATGGTGCATATTACAGTTCCAAGGGTAATCACTGAAAATATAAATAGTATATATAACTTTAAATCAATAGAGGGAAAAACATTATACAAAGTTGGGAGTGAGATTCAGGATGGGAGGGAGCAGCCTCAATCCATCCAAAAGAAGGCAAAAATGTTGAAAAGCAAGGAAACATAGAAAAATGGGACAAACAGAAAGCACAAAATGAAACAGTAGAAAATAATCCAAATATATCAGAAATAACAATCAATGTAAACTGAACAAATTTGCAGTTAAAAGAAAAAGTCAGTCAGACTGGATAAATAAAACAAAACCTAACTACATGCTAAAACACAAGAAGACAAAAGGGTTGATAGGGCTGGTCCGAAGGTAGTGAGTTATCTCACTTGATTGTTCACAGTCAGTTACAGACTGAACTCCTTGTTCTGTTCTTTCCCCCTCTTCTCACTACCGTACTTGACTAGGAAAAGAAAAAAGGAAAAAAAAAAAAAGAAAAGAGTTGAAAGTATAATATAAAGGATAGAAAAAGATATACTGGATATAAGTGTATTTAAGAATATAAATACAGACCCAAATGAAGCAGGAACGGCTATATTAATATCAGACAAAGTAGATGTTAAGTAAAAAAAATTCATTAGGGAAATGATCAACATGTAAATAAAAATTCAAAATATATATATAAAACCAAATTTGACAGAACTAAATGGAGAAACTGACAAAGCTACCATTACAGTGGAGGAGTTTAACTAATGAGATAGTGAATGAGTTTAACTGTCTCATTAATACACAGCAGACAAAACTTGATACCATGTACATATATAAAACCTCCCAAACAATCAGAGAAAACATGTTTCTGAGGCACAGAACACTTACAAAAGCCACCTTGTAAACATGTCATAGGTCGAAGAAGATATGATAAAATTAAAAAGTATTTAGAATTGAACAATTACAAAAATGCTCTATTTAAGATCTGGTGAAATGCAACTAGCTAAATTAGTAGTTTTAGGGAAATCTATAGCAATAAATACACAGGTAAAAAGAAAGACTACAAAATAATAAA